AACTTTAGATTAATCAATGTTCTTTATAACATCTCTAGTAAGGGTAAAGAATATAATTGCTCATATTTGTCACAATCTCTCTCGCTACTTGTTTTACTTTTACGCATGTCACTAATTTCATTGCATGAGAAATAGTACTTCTAATTTATTAAACCCCACTTTATGCGGGGGAGGGATAAGAGGGAACTCTAGAGTGAAAACTAGCATCTTCCCTGCCCAGCCCGTCTTCAAAACTATTCAAAATTTAGTTTAACGAATGTTCTTTATAGCATCTCTAGTAAGGCTAAAGAATATATATTTGTCACAATCTCTCTCGCTACTTGTTTTACTTTTACGCATGTCACTAATTTCATTGCATGAGAAATAGTACTTTTAATTTATTAAACCCCACTTTATGATTTTCACTAAGTATTTTAGTTTAGGAGTAAAAGTAGAATTGTAGTGATAATTGTAGGATATAATCAAAACCAAAACTTTATCAACTTTCTAAGTTATGGCGTGTTATTCTAAACTAGAACTTCTCTTGAAAACCACCGTGATTAACCTCGATTTTCATGGGATCGATATTTGGGGCTCAATCAGAAAGTCCTATATTACTTGATAACGATACGTATACTTGCGTAGAATCCCTATAAATATAATTGAAATATTACTTTTCTTGGGATCAAGTTTTTGGTGTCATTACCGGGGATTAAAACCTTCAAGTAGTTGTGTCAACTTTATAAATCCTTGCATATACAAAATATCAAGATCAGGCTACTGGATTCTCTTGGACGACCTAATTCATGGATTATTGATAAGGGGTCTTTGGTCAGGTTAGATCGACTACCTTCACGATCAGGTAGACTTAGGGTCTCCAAAGCTTGGGATGATGGATCAATGGTATCCTGACCTTGCTACCTTTACCTGCTTAAGAATTGCTCTCAATCGTGTTGATTCCTATTTTGAGCAATGTCATCCTTTTGAAACAACTGTTGATTTCGTCTTGTGGGCTCTGCATGCCAAGGCGCCACTGCCCGTAGTGGATACATTGATTCACCCTCTATCGTATAGCCGGTTATAGGCATCGAAAGCATCAAAATTCTCTCGCTTGAGATGATAAAAAAAATCCTTTCATTGTCTAAATAATATGATTTCATAAATATTATACGCAAGACCCTTCCTATCAAACGTATTCTTGAGCATCCCTAAGATGTAATTAATCAAAGGAATACATTCCTTTGGGAGTTTCTTTCGACTCGGAACAAACACAAAAACTTGGTTCTTGGGTTGTGAGTTGCTTTCTTTCCCTATATGCTTTCAAGGCATTTTCGGTTTGATCTCATTCCGGACATATGCTTTTAGGCTATCACCCAAGGTTACCTTATCAAAGTTCTCCACATTCATTTTTAATTGCTTGTCTATTTTTATCGTATTTTCTTTCTTTTCAGTTCTTTTCTTCCTTGAATCATCCTTGTAAATCAAAAGAGAAATTTATTTGGAAAAAAAATTATACGAAGATGATGAGGCCAACTGGCAACTCCAAAAACTACTAAAAAGAATGAAAAAAAGAACCGAGATTCGGATTTACGTGTTCGATTGTGCTTCGTTGATCACGTTAGACATTGATTTCTTCAGAGATGGCAACCGCGGCTAGCATGCATCTTTTTTTTTTCAAATTTTACCCCTTGCTCCGTCGCACAAGGATTATAAAATTCCTGTGTATTGAATTTAATCACTTTTTTTATGTGATATGAACCTATGCTCTCCAGCGTTCTTTATTCCTAATACATTTATTTTTATAAAATTAACGTAAACTCTTTAAAATAATGGACTATAATATGTTATTATAATCATTAATTGAATTTCTTTTTTTTGTTAATGTGACTAATCATTCACTGAATTTATTATAATAAAATGGACCATAATATAAAAAAATAAAAATAAAAAATAGAGCACTTAACAAAACATAAAATAAAATATAACATCAATAAATAGGTTTTATTATATTTGTAATGATTTTTTATTATATAAATACAACCTAATCCCTACATGTTTAGCCACATCTTAATTCTATAATTTAATTTTCAGATTTCATCTGTCTTACCATTTTATTTAATATAATGCAATTAAATATGAAATTAGATACATCTATAAAAACTATGAATCTATATAATATGACAAAAGAGATATTTCAGCCATTTAAATTTTCAAACTGTCTGTTTCTAGAACACTAGCTTTTAAGCAACATTCGACGGTAGCTTTTGAAACTATGCTTGAATATTATAAAATATATTAGCTCTATTTCAATAAAAAAAATTCCACACTACTTGTATGCTATCAGCTCAATTAGTCTTCAAAATTTCTTCATATTAACTATATCTACAAGCCATATAGATAAATCATTTATCCACAATTATACGCGCTCAAACGATCCAAATTTAGTTTTTATTCACATCTTCAACATGTGGTACTCCCATGACAACTCTAATGCAATCATATTTCACATGCCCTCCAAAGTTCTATTACAAATTTATCCTAAAATCCTCTTTTCTGCCACATTCAAGCAAGCTATAATTTCCTCCCCACCCACCCAAAATTATGATTCATATTAGATTAGTTGGTCTGACAATAGTTTTATTCAGTTTACTACTGAAACTTCACGAGATTTTCCTTCGCATAATTCTCTCAAAGCGCTTTTTTATTTTAACCACTCAATTTTGACCATCCTTTAGAAGAAGTACCAGTACAATCATATATCTAAAATCAACTTTCATAATTAAATATATTTTAATTAAAATCCAAATATAAACAAAATAAATAGGAGCAATTGCATGAATACCACCCAATTCCTACGCATTGAACTTTATTTTTTTACATTTATCCCATCCAAATATTTCATATCACATAAACAAAAATCACTATTTTAACTTCAAAAAAGTGATTAACCGTTTTCATACATAGTCAAGGTCGCATATATGTTAAAAAAAAGAATTTTTTGTATTAGATATGTAAATACAAAAGAATTGTGTGGTAGGTATGTAAATCTTCCAAATAAGAAATAAATGTGACTCCAAATGGCCCCTAAGCTATTGAAGATGAAGAGCAATCTATGAAACAACTAGTTGTCAAGCTAGCAGGAATCCTAAGTCCAACAGCTTGGCCAACTACTGAAAGCCATGAAACCAAGTAATTAACAGCACAAGGGTTTTCTTGTTGAACACCAGAAAGGAGCAACCTCATCCACTCACTTGTTCCACAAGGGTGTAGCATGTACCAAGGCCGATGCAAAAAAGGATGATCCTGTAAATATCATCAAATAATCCTTTGCAATGATTATTATAATTTTAACATAAATTGTATTGCTTAGCTCCTGCCATATCCCACAAAATTGCTATAAATTGGGGTGAGAAAAAAAAACTTGCAAAAAAGATCCAAATAGTCCCCCATACTACAGTACTCAGACTCTTTAACATGTAAACTAACAAATTTCGAAGTTAAAGATGTTAAAATGACGTATTTCAAGGAATTTTTTTGAATAATTTAATAAATCTAATTTGTGACTCATTACTTTATTGTGTACAATAATAGCTAATTTTGTATACCACAATAGTGGATTGAGATTGTGCAAGTTGCATATCGAGTTGATTTTTTATAATAAATAAGCTATTTTATTAACTTGATTTTATCATAACAAAATATATCGAGTTTATTTAAATCATTGTGTAAATGTCAGGACATCCCCTGAAAGTGACGCATTGTAACAGCTTAATACAATGAAAACTATGTGAGGGCAACTACAACGACGACCGGGTGTAGTGTGAAATAAACTAGGGTTACCACATCATAAACAAATGCGAACAAAAAAGCTAGTCCTTGAAACTAATATTGAGATACTCTTGGATTATAGATACTCTCACGGACAAATTAATAAAATTAATAGATATTATGGTTCATAAGAAGATATATATCTTATGCATTCAAGAAACTAAAGAGATTGGAGAAAAAACTGAAGATATTGATATCAAGTTTTAATTTTTAGTATTCAGGTAGGAGTCACGCTAGAGAAGGCGTAAGTGTAATTATTGGAAAAGAGTTTGAAAGATAAAGTTGTAAAAATTAATAGAATTTGAGATAGAATTATAGCCTTAAAAATTATTGTTGATACTAAGATTTTTAATGTTATTAGTGCTTAATGTCACCTCCCAAAAGAGCCCTTATGGGTGGGGGGCAGCCCAGGACTTAAATACTGCTTTTTGGCCCTACACCTGGCCGATGTGGGACTATTTGTCCGTGACATTATGCTCTCAAGTAGGTTTATATATAGGTTCAAAAGAAAAAAAATTAAAATGACCTAAAAGAGTTACTACAAATAATACTTGTTGAAAAAAAAAAATTTATTGTAAGATATTTGAATGGGCATACTGGCAGAGTGATAGGAGATTTTAGAAATATTTATAATGACTACGACTTTGGAGTGATTAATGAAGAAGGTAGAATCATATTAGATTTTACTTTAGCTTATGATTTTATTATTGCTAACACTGCCGTTGTCGGTCCCAAGCCCGGATGAGAAAAGTGGAGGGCTGTGTTTGGGAGTCGACAGCCAGCGTAAAACTTGTCGAAAAAATCATGACATGAATCCTTTTGATCATTGTGT